AATTAAAATAAAAAAAAGATTAAAATAAAAGAAAAAACCATAAATTTTTTTTATTATTTCTTTTTTGGTACAGGGACCTTCCGGTTTCCGGATCCACATGGGAACCGGAATCGAGCCGGGTAGGACTACAAGAGCGGCAAAACTCCCCCTCAAGAGTTTTAACACTGTTGCATTCTCAGAGCTCAAACACGAGACCACTGGTTAAACTGGAAGAGACCCAAGTCATCTCATCCACACGCTCTTGGTATTATTTTATTATTTTCACATTAAAGAAAGTCCATTTAACATTATTCTTATCTTTTTTCAATATGTATTAATTAACAAATGTCATGTGAACCTATTAATTGCAGAAAATTCAAAGCCGTGTATGATCCGCATGAAAACATAGGGAGCCTTTGTAGTAACTCGTTTCTTCTTATCAACTACTTGACCTCAACTCATTTATTAATATTATGTTTCAGTTTTTTAATACAGGCTCTATGAGTTACAGTTCATCATATCAAATATTTTATTTTGTTACATACTTATCATAGATGCTTATTAAATCAGGTGTGGCATAAATTATGGCAAATCAAGCCAGTTATTTTATATTTTTTCGCTTCGCTCGGTGTAGCTAACCAACTTGGCCCTAGCGGCCCGAGCGTCATTGAAAAGAAAAGAAAAGCGCACACAAACCAGAGAGGGATTGACTAGTCGTCAAGCCCGAACGATAAGCTGCGCACCAGGAAACGATTCCTACTGTGATAAAAACCAAAGCACGCTACGGTCTAAGGGCTTTAGGATAGGGTGTTCGTGAAGTTTCGATCTGATGTGACTACCTGCTGGAACCGGTCAAAATTATAGAAATTGGGATATTCTAATCTTGACCCCAAAATTCCAGGATCATAATAATCCACCCTAAATTATGAGGGCTAATTTTTAAATAATATTTATATTCTCACAATGTATAATTTACAGTATATCTATTATCTTGTCACATGGTACTTGCCTCAAATAAAGCGATATGATTTTCGTATTGACAAATATTTAACTCTATGGTCACATTATCATATTCAATTAAAGGTTATTGCTAGGCAGAGTTACCTGACTATTACACGATCATATTTCTTTTGTTATTAAATTTACGTAATTTCAAACTAAAATGTTATTATCTAAAAAAACAACATGAACAAAAATATAAAATTTGATAGCATAAAATAAACATTTTTGTTAAAGAAAAATGATGATTGACCCGTCCAACAATTAATTCGTCTCACACAAAATTTGTTCATATTCAATATGTGATGGACCGAGTAGGCAACGGCGTGTTCATGGGGTCAAGTCACCGGCTCAATGTTCTTTACAACTTTAACATGACAAACTTAGCCCAGTTCTAGGTCGGATTAAGAAGCCGTCTATATATTAAGTCGTCTCACACAAAATTTGTACATATTCATCAGTATGGAAATAAACCAACTACATGTTCATATATAGGGGCCAAGCCGCCTGTTCTATGTTCTTTAAAACTTCGAACATGACACACTCAGCACAATTTTAGGTCGGATTAAGCAGTCATCTAACGATTAAGTCGTCTCATACAATATTTGTGAATGTTCAATATGTAATGGACAACTGCATGTTCATAGGAGCCAAGTCACCAATTCTATGTTCTTTAAAACTTTGAATAGGTCACACTAAGCCCGGTTCTAGGCCCAATTAAGCAGTTAATGGTTAAACAAGTGTGCGTAATTAAACATTTAAAAATAATCAGAGCATGACATTAGTAAAACCTAGCTAATTTAGGAAAATGATATGGTCCCGTTACGGAATCATTTTGTCGGATTTGTAATCGCTAGATCATCAACCGTCTGAGATAGTTGATCTAACTGTTACAAACCCAACGAAATGGTTCGTTACAAAATCGTAACATCTATGTGAGTTTATAACCTATAGTAAAAAAATAGGCCCCCCACATAATAAATGTCGACTGTCAATCTTCAAACTATTACAAGATCAAAGATTGAAATTATTAAAAAAAATAAAAAAAAAAATCAGCCGGCCAATTTGACAATACAATCACTGTTGATTGCAAATTCTGGAACAAAATAAACTCGCACAAAACAATAATAAATAAAATAAGTATATATATAAAAATAAAACAATTAAATATATCCTCACGTCACCCGCGTGTAGGTAGGGATGAAAACGATCGGAAACGATCGGCATAGGGCTCAACCATTTTCACTTTCATATTTTTTTCTCGAAAATGAAAATGATACGGTAATGTCGAAAACGAAAACGACATCGGTATTCCGGTAATATCGAAAACGAAACTATCCGATCGAAAATACATCGATAACGATCGAAATATATTAAAACGGTATTTAAAAAATGATAAACACACCACATTATAAAATATAGCATTAAAACATTAATTGAAATATTCTCATGGCATAATAGTAGCAAAGTCCAAATTAAAATCCACACTATTTGCTATAACAAAATCCATACAAATTCCAATAACTAGCAATTGAATTGTGACTTGTTCACCAAATTCTCATGGAATAATAGTAGCAATTGAAATTTGAAACATGAAATGGGAGAAATTAGGTGAGAAATCAACCATGGAACTACCAAATCCACAAAAAAACCACAACAAACGAAACCCAAAATTCAAAACACGAATCACTAAAAGGGGATTTGGGCATTTGGCCCATTCGGGATTTTGATTGGGCTTTATAATTAAAAGTGAACCTAGTATGAGTTGGGCCGGTATTACCGACGGTAAAATACCGTTTAAATACGGTAAAATACCGTTTAAATACCGTTTAATTTTCGAAAACGATCGGAAAATGGCTAAACCGTTTTCGTTTTCATTTTCGAATTTTTTTACCGTTTCCATTTCCGTTTTTTCGGTTA